GGCACCCTTGGGGCCACTCGGCGGCGGGCGAGGGGGGGGGCAGGGCGAGAAGGAGCAGGGCTCCTCGGGGGGCGGCGGGGCTTCTCAGAGGCCCTCGCGCCTCCGGAGAAGTCCGCCTCGACTTCGGGGAGAGCGTGGGAGACTTCTCGGGAGGCCGGGGGGCTTCCGAGCCTCCGGAGAAGGCCTTCTTTCTCTCACGTTCCCCCCCTCGCTCGCCGCCGGGCCACCTGCAGCCCAGAGGGCCGACTGGATTTGTGGGGGCACAGCCCTCGCCGCGAGCGGGAAGATGCTTTCCTGGGGAGGATGCGAACTTGGGTTACCAATCCCAGTTCAAGGACTACCACTCTTGGTCGGCGTACCGTTCTTCGTCTGCAAGTCGCGGCGCTCGAGACCAGAACGGCGGCTTCAGTCCTCAGCTCCCTCACCCACTGATCCGAAGGTGTGCCTTTCACCTCCTGAGCCCCAGAATCAGTACACATGGTTCGTTTCTAATTCTTCGAAAGTTCTTGATTTTTTTATTGGGGGGGGCAAGATCCTTTCATTTCTAATTGTTCCATCCTGGGCCTCTTCCTGGCCACTAGGGGGCCAGGAACAATTAGAAACGAGCACACGTAGCAATGTCACGATTAGACATGAACGACATGTATTTTCGGCGTGGGCTTCGGGCCCGTGGTCGAAGGAGACAGCGGCGGGAGATCCAGGGCACAGGGGGCGTCTTCTGGCTTGGCTTCGCCTCCTACCCTTTGCCTCCTCATCCTCCTCCTCCTACTACTCCTCCTCCGCAGCAATTCATCCTCCTCACGTTTCCCTCCCGCCTCGCTTCTTGCCTTTCTTCCCAGTCGCACCCCTCTCTGTCCGCCCCCCTTCCCTCCCTCCTCCCTTCTCCCTCACTCAGGGGTGCGCTGCGCTTTCTCGCCCCCTTGGCGCTCCCATCCCTTCCCTCTCTGTGCTCCCAGGCCCCCTCACCGTGGCCTCTGATCTCGCTCTTGGCGCCCTGACAGCAGGAGGGGAAAAACACACACAGACGCAATTCAGCGACGACTGCCAGGAACAGATAGGAAATATGGGAAGGTATGGGAGGTGGGGGGATGACGAGAGTCCAGAACATAATTGAAACGATAAGGAATCCTGGGATCTGCGTCTATTGATTTGTTGGCCCAAGGACCCCTTCAATTTCGCTCTTGGTGCCCCAAGAGGTCGCTGGCAGTCATACGCAAGAACTACAGCTTGCGGGACCCGCACTGCCGGTTTGATACCAACGAGGAGGGTATCACGACCTTGGCAGACTACAATGTCCAGAAGCTGACCACCATGCGAGTCTTCTTTGTGACCACTGGCACTGCACTCGAGAGCCCGATCCTGTGGATAGAGATGAGTGTGATTGCGATTGTCTACTGGGGCACATTTGCGGTGCTCATGCACTTCCGATGGGAAGGATTCAGCGAGTTTGTCGGCAGCGACACGGACGTTAGAGCTTTCATCGAGATGTTCTCAACGCTCATCGGGCTCCTCCTGTCCTTCTACACATCCTTGAACATCGCCCGCTGGTGGAGCCTGCGGACCCAGGGCGTGGCGGGCATCGCCCAGGGTGCCTCCAAGCTCACGATCCTGCTCTCGCAGGGCGTCACGAGGAGCCAGGGCTGGACCTGAACGCTGTGCTGCCAGACTCCCTCTATGTTTTGCTTCTCGTTTTGGCGGGGAGGCACAGGAAAACGGGTCGAGCAGAACGAGAAACCAAACGACAGCAGAACGAACAGCAAAGCTTAGAGGTCCAGCCCTGCGAGAAACACGGAGATACTGGAGGCCGTTCGCCGATATGCCCTGGGCTCGCTGATGCTGCTGTTCCACAAGGACGAGGAGGACGAGAAGCAGCTGGACTTTCTCGTGGGCAGGGAGATCTTGACGCAAAGCGAGGCCGACAAGCTGTGGCAAGCGGGAGATGGGAGGTGCTACCCAGAGGCGTTATGGGTCTGGTTGGCCCACATCGTCACCAGGTGCCACCAGGCTGGCCTGGTCGATGGCCCGCCGCACTACTGTGCCCTGCTCGCTGCGGTCGACGAGGGGAGGACCGGCGCTTCCGCCATCAAGACGAACATGGAGACCCCCATCCCGATGGGTTACGTGCACCTCCTGGGTCGGACGCTCGGCAGCCCCACAGGGGTTGTTGTAGCTTGCTCCTTATCTCACGACCTTCGGCCCATCCCGCCACTGTGCTTGGGTTGTGGGCACGAGGCCTATTGGATGTTCGTTGGGGTCTCGTGGGAGGCCTCTCGAGGGCCTCTTGGAGGCAGTTCTGAGGCCTCTTAGAGGGCCGTTTTGAAGCCTCTTGGGGCCTCTCTTGGGCCTTTCCGGGGCCTCTTGGGGTCTCTTGGGGGCTTCTCGGGGGACTTTTGGGGGACGTTTCGGCTGCAAGAGAGGTAGGAGCTGTGGTTGTCAGGCCCATGTCAGCCTCTCCTCCCTCGCCTCCGTCTGTACTCCCTTGTGCGCCGCCATTTCGGCTCACGAGGGCCCTTGAGCTATCATGGCGCGCCTGTGACGGATGCGCCCACGGCTCCGTAAAAGGAAAGGAAACATGCTCTCTTCTAGCACGGGTCCCCCTAATTGTATTTCGTGTCTCTCTGTATCCATACAGTCACTCCCGTACAATCCACACGAGCGCTTCCAAGCGCTCCCAGGCACTCCCAGGCGCTCCAAGCGTCCCCAGGCGTTCCTGAGCGCCCGTGGGCGCTCCCAGGCGTCCCCGGGCGCTCCCCAGGCGTTCCCAGGTGCTCCCAGGCGGTCCCCAGGCGCCCCCACACGGTCGCAAGCGCTCCCAGGCGTTTGACACGCTTCCCAAGTCTTCCAAGCGGTTCCCTGGCGGTCCTAGGCTTGAGTCGGGCATGTCCCTTTGCAGGACGAATATCCAAAAATTGTCAGAAAATAATATGGGGACTGATTTTTTGACAGTTTTTGAACATTTGTCGCGAATGGTTTGATTATGTTTATGCATCGTTTTCAATTTGCCTTTAGGAGAACACGCCCGACCTAATCTCAGGCGCCCTGGGCACCCCCAGGCGCCGCCAAGCGCCCCCGGGCGCTCCAACGCGCCCCCAGGCGCCCCCAGGCGCTCCCAAGCTGGGCGCTCCCAAGCGTTCCCAGGCGCCCTCCAGGCGCTCCCACAAGCTCTCCCACAAGCGATCCCCGGGCGATCCCACAGGCGATCCCTGGGCGCCCCAGTGGTTGTGATCACATACGTCTCCCCCGACCCATTTCGGCTCGCCCCTCGCGCGTTTTGTGGCCTACCCCGAGGGAGCTCCACCGAAGACTTCGCGGCGGTGTCCACGTGCTTCCCCCCGTTTGTGTCAGTATGCCCCTGACATGTCCCGTGAACGCATAAGGAACTCCCCCTCCTTCGTCCCACCGGCCTTGGGTGCTGCCAATTGCACATGGTTGGGCCCCTCGCCAGGAAAGTGTTGTATGTTTGTGATGTTTTTGGCTGTCTTGGCCCTCTCGGCCAGAGCTTGCCCTCGGCCATCGCCTCTCCAAACATTGAAAAAGAAAAGGCTACGAAGAGAGAGGGCGAGTCTCTGAGCCCCCGACGAGGGGATGAGGCTGGTCCCAGAAAATGTTCAAGAGATGTCGGGGCCGATGACGTTTTGGTGGGGCGGAGGGCCCGGGGAGGGGCAAAGCAGGGGAACCAGGCGCGCCATGCCCGAATTTCTGCCACGAACCCCAAGTAAGGCCGCAAAGCAGGGCTCGTTTTGATTCCTCCGATTCGATTGGATTCAATTTCGATTGCTTCCGATTCCGATTCGATTTCGGATTTCGATTTGGGTTCCGATTTCTCAACAGAGGCCTACCGGCCAGCCGATTTGCGCCGATCTCCGCCGATCCGATTCGTTCCGATTGCCGATTGGACTTATCGATTCGATTCTGGGATCTCCTGCCAAAGGGGCCAAGACGGCCGAACTTTCCCCGAGGACGGCCCAAGAGATGCCTAACAGGACTCCAAGAGCGCTCCAAGAGGGTTCAAAACCGCCCAGGAGCGTTCCAAGACGGCCCTATATGGCCTCCAGACGGTCGAGAGAGCCCCAAGACGGCCGAAGAGACCCTCAAGAGGGCCCTCGAGAGGGCCTCAGGATGCCCAACAACATGGACTTTTCTGCGGTGTTGAAGGTTTTGAGGGTTCTCGCCTTTGCGGGTCCGATGGCCCATGAAGGCCTAATAGGCCAGACAGATCGGCCCCAGATGGCCGATGAGGCCCGCAAGTGGGATCCCAAATGCGACAACTCCGAAGACGGCCCAAGAGGGCGTCAATCCGTAGCCATTTTGGCTCAAGGTTCGCTAGGTGATCGCATCTGGCTACCAGCATATCAGTTGATTACCAACGTGCTCTTACACTTCTCAGCTATCGTCGATTCAGCGATGGCGTGCAAGCTGATCTTCCTGACGGCATCCGCGCTCGCTTCCATGGTGGGCGCCGAGCTGCACCTCACCCAAGTGTCCGTGCACGGGTCGGACGGCAATGAGGCAATTCTGACGCAATTGCCTGCGTCGTCAGTGACGATGTCGCGATTAGGGACAGCCTATAACAATGTCGACCAGGACATGGCCATAAGTCTGGCGGCGGCCTATTACATAATTACGGGCGGAAATTGCCCCATCTCCGAGAGGATTTGGGACATGGCGGAGTGCGAGAGCGTTGTTGCATCGCTAGGTATGAATGCGCCTGCGAGGGGAGACCGGACGGGTATGTTGGCTTGGGCGCCGGCAGAATGCTGGGTGCGTGACGACGGGCTTTTATATTAGTGAAGTTTACTGGGCCGTCACGACCATCAACGCGTCCGCCAACGGCGGCAAGTACAAAGCGATCTGCCGTGAACCGACGCCCGCGCCAACGCCTGCGCCCACGCCTGCACCGACACCAGCGCCCACGCCAGCACCAACGCCAGCGCCTGCGCCGGCACCCACGCCAGCACCGACGCCAGCGCCCACCCCCGCGCCGACGCCAGCACCGACCCCAGCACCGACGCCCGCGCCAACGCCTGCACCGACGCCAGCGCCCACGCCAGCACCAACGCTAGCGCCTACGCTAGTACCAACGCCAGCGCCGACGCCAGCGCCCACTCCCGCGCCGACGCCAGCACCGACCCCAGCACGAACGCCCGCGCCCACGCCTGCGCCCACGCCGTCACCGACGCCAGCGCCCACGCCAGCACAAACGCAAGCGCCTACGCTGGCACCGACGCCAGCGCCGACGCCAGCGCCCACTCCCGCGCCGACGCCAGCACCGACCCCAGCACCGACGCCCGCGCCAACGCCTGCGCCCACGCCAGCATCAATGCCAGCGCCCACGCCAGCACCAACCCCTGCGCCTACGCCAGCACCAACGCCAGACCCTACGCCAGCGCCAACGCCGAGCCCGACATCAGCACCTTCACCACCTCCAACGCCGAGTCAAACTCCAGCGCCTTCACCATCTTCAACACCGAGCCCGACTGGGGCACCAAGTCTTCCGAGCACGGCAGTGGGAGACCCCCACGTCACGAATTTGATCGGCGCTTCGTTCGACGTCAATCAGCCAGGCGAGCACATCCTTCTGCGCTTGCCGTTCGACGAGGGCGTCTCCCCCCAGCTCGAGGTCCCAGCCAGGATGAGCCCGGCACCTGCGTCGCCCTGCGGGCCGTGGATAACGGAGGTCATCCATGCAGGCGAGTGGGCTGGCGAGGGCGAGATCCGTGTGCATGCTTCGACAGCGGCGTCCACCGAGGGTAAGCCCGACGGTTTCGCCTTGCTCTCGGGGTCGGGAGGTGCCCAGGTCGCGCAGGAATGGAAGCCGTGGGCCTGCTTCGACAAGGACGTCGAGGAGGCGCTGTCCAGCTACGTGACGGTCCAGCCAACCTTCCAGGCCTTCCAGGGCGCATTTGCCATGAAGGGATAGAGGGTCTTCGAGTTCCTTATCGGGCCGGCCCCCGCTCTGGGCAAGCGCCTGTCGGTCGTCGTCGCGCAGATGACGCGCCGCGCTGCGCTGGACGTGCAGGCAACACGCCTCGGCAGGCCAGGGGGGTCCGCTCGCTTCGGAGGCCTCCTCGGCACCGAGGAGCCCGACCCCGCGGTAGAGGAGCTCACCTCAGAGTGCGTCGCGCACAAACGGAACAGGAGGTTTTAGACAGCTCAGTGCATCTCCAACTTTACTCTGAGTGGTGAGCGTATAGTCTTCTTCGTCTCATCACTGTTGTGTTTCTTCATTTTGACCCGCCGCCTGGCATTATTCATCAATGATTCTTCTCTTCATCAATGGTTATTTTCTTCATTCTGTATTCAAGTGACTCGTGGCATTTGGCCATCGGGTTGCTTCCACAAAGTTGGTGAATTTAAGCCAGCGTTCCGCTTGTTGGCACTTGACCAGCCGAAGTTCGATCGCCGAGAAAAAAAAGACGGCCCAAGAGGGCTTTGAGAGGGGCCCAGAGGTGCCCAATAGGCTCCCAAGAGGGCCCCACGCGGGCCAGGGGAGGCCTCCAAGAGGGCCGAGGTTGCCCCCGACAGGGCCGCAAGATGGCCCAAGCCCCCAATGACGGCCCAAGAGGCCTCTGGGACAGCCCACGAGCCTCCCAAGAGAACCCCCAGGACGGCCTTAGGAGGCGAAGCATATTCGCCTTCTCTTTTGGTTGTTCCCCACCCGACAGGCTGGGGCTGTTAGATTTCAAGAGCAGGCCCCCCGGCCATCCCCGCCCTGCATACCGCGGCCGCCAGACCCCAAGTTGTCTTGAAAATCCCGAGTATCCTGGGTGTCCCGCCTCGCGCCGAGCCAACCCCGCCCTGCATACCGCGACCGCCAGACACCACGTTGTCCCGATGATCCCCGAGAGTCCCGGGTGTTCCGCGTCGCGCCTTCGACGAACACGACAGAACACAACATGACAGAACAGAACAGAACAGAGCATGACATTCGCAACGAACGGACCACATGTTCAAGCTCGCATAGTTCACACATAAGATTACCAGAAGGAGCAAGCATGCGCAATTACAGCACACCATGCTTACATACAGTTCGACACAGCAGAATTAATTCGCAACATTCGCAGCACTTTCTTCGCGAGACCCTTTCGAAACAGATTTATCGGTCAGTAGCGCAGGTATAAGTTTGCAGCGACAGCGAACTAAGGTCTGATGGTCAAGCTTCACAATGTCATATTGGCGGTCCTGATGGCTCTGGTGTCGGTGAAACACGCCGGGAACAAAGACTCGGTGGCCACCATTCGCGCCATGTTCAGGTGTTTCTTCATGCCGCTCCTCTACAATGCCATTTTGATCATCAATGACGAGCTGACCGATCCCTTCGGCAAGGACGTGTCTGATTTCCCCGCCCATGTCCTGTGCCGGCGCCTGTTTGATGACGTGACAAGCTTCGTCGAAATGGGGGACCACCTCCCCGAGTGGATCGCCAAGCTCGACGTCAAGAAGGAGGCTGCGCAGCGAGGCGGCCCACGAGGGTCTGCACAGCCCGTGGGCGCAGTCTGAGGCGCTCAGACATGCCAAGTTGCGCGAACTCCATAGATCAAGCAGTGGCGAGGCGTCTTGGCTCGCCAATAGGCCCACCAAAGAACGTTCTAAGAACCTTGTGTGGTCTGCAGGAAATGTTGTTAGAACATTTCCTGCTGAGACTGCCCTGTTTTAACACAGCGGGCTTATGTTCTAAGAATATGGTTGTTGTTATGAGAACGTTCTTGGGTTCTAAGAAGTTTCGTTGTAAACCTATAGGAATGCCAGGACAGTCGGTCCTTGCTCAAATTGACATACAGCGTGATCCGCTGTCGATTAGATTTGGTGCGCGGGTGCAAAAAATATGTTGCCGGCCAGCGCTTGTAATGAATTGGGCACCTCGCGGCAGCTGGAATGGTTGTGGGCGAAACGGCAGGCCGATCCAGAGGGCGGTCGTTTTCCCGGCTTCCCGATTTGGTCTTGAGTTTCACAAACTATTGTTGGCAGACGCGTCGGGCTGATTTTGGTGGGCGGTTGTTTTTCGTTCGTTCTGGAGATTGCAGGGGCTTCCCCAAGTAGTGTCTGCATTGAGTTGGTTCCTGAGAGCGATTGTGGAGAGGGTCGAATGAGAAGAGTTATTTCAGAGGAGAGAGAGAGAGAGAGAGAGAGAAAAAAAACAAAACAAAACGAGAGAGAGAGAGAAAGATAACGAAACGAAAAGGAAACGCAAGTAGGAACACACAGCATAATCAAGATGGGCAGAGAGAGATGCTAAGAGAGGGAGCGAATTTATTTATTTATTTATTTATATATATATATATAAATATATATGTCTTTTGCTCGCAGACCAACGATTGAGTACTTCCCTGTTGAGGGTGTCTAAAGCTCTTTTCATGTTAGGGAGAGGCGATCGCGCAGAGCGCATAGGGCGGCTGGCCGCGCACGATGGCGGCTGCACAGCAGCGGGTCAAGGATGCCCGGGCTGGCCTGACAGAAGACGCCTTACGCGGCGGAGTGCGACCAGACCACCTCCTCGCAGAGTGCGCCGACGACGCGCATGAGGCAGTGGCTTGAGCGCAGCAGGTGATGGAGGAGTGCGGCTTCGGCTACATGGATGTCGCAGGCCTTGGCAAGCAGTTTCATGCTGTCGCGGAGGTGGCGTGCGCCTGGGCCGGGACGAGCAGGCGGCAGCGGCTGCGTTCGGAGGTGATGCTGATCGGCCAGACCATCGACAGTCTGTGGAGGCAGGCGATACTGTCCCAGGGGGCGGACTGCGAGGCCCGTCGCTAACTCCAGGCAGCCGCGGGCCAGTGTGCGGAAGGACACGCTGGTGGGCACACGAGCTGGTCGCGGCTGCTGGAGGCCTGCGGGGGGATGCCAAAGGGCGCCGCGAGGTGGAGGAGAAGGAGATGTTTCGCTGGGCCACGGAGCTGGCTCGCCTCATCGTGAAGGCAGAGCTGCCCCGAAAGCGATTGGCAGAGCTGACGCGGGACTCAGGGGCACGGTGCCGCCAGGGCCAGCACGGCATGTGCGCGAATGCGGCATATGCGTCGGATGGCGGAGTGGCTGTTCGCAGCGCGCGGCGTACGTTGGCCGCAGCATGAGGGACACGTCGTGGATTATTTGGAGGTGCTAGCCGCGAAGCCCTGCAGCCGGACTGATCCTCGGTCGGTCATTCAGGCATGCATTGGACTTCGTCAAGGAGAGGGGCGAGGTCCCAGATGCCGAGTGGCTGTCAGCAAGGGCCCTGCTTCAGACGAAGGTGGCGGACATGGTGACGACATTGAGCGGCATCGCGCCGCCGATAGCTGAGGTTCCGTCGGTCTTCTTAGCGGTGGTCGTTGTGCTCAAGCTTTCGCCAGAGACAAAAGTACCACCACCACCAGCTAGGGGGGTGGCTGTCCCATCTTCTCGAGCTGGTGGCACCTCCTTCCGGGCATGCCTCCAGAGAGTTCCCAGAAGAAGGGTAGTGGTACTTTTGTCTCTTCTGAAGCTTGCGGTGGTGGACGAAGGCCTTCCGCTGAGGACCTGCACTTTCGCGTAGTTGAGCTTTTGCTCAACATGTGGACCTGGGCACGCAGTGACGACCTGCGGGGCCCGTCCAGCGGAGATGAGCGTTTCCAGGGACGGTTTTGAGGCAGCCTTTGGGTAGGACAAAAACGATCGGGCCAGGGTGGCGCATCCGCTGGCTCCACGTGTACGTCGATCCCAGCGCCCACCTTGCGGAGCCGAGGTGGATGGATGTAGGCCATTCGTTTTGGAGCAGCCCGCTTCTCAACCATGAGCGGGATGTTTTTTTTGTTGCAAAAAAAAGGATTGCAAAAACACCCGAAGGATTGCAAAAACAAACCAAGGATTGCAAACACAAACCCGAAGGATTGCAAAGAAAACACCGTTTTTTTGCAATCCTGTTTTTTTGCAATGTTGTTTTGCAATCCTTAGATGTTGAGTTGGCCGGTTTGCGGAAGGTGCCGGCTGGATACGCCGACATGGCACGGATCTCCCAGGCGGTGTTGCGCAGCCTTCGAGGAGGAGGAGGAGCGGGAGAAGGAAGGGGAGGAGGAGGAGGAGGAGGAGGAGGAGGAGGAGGAGGAGGAGGGGGAGGAGGAGGAGGAGGAGGAGGGAGGAGGACGAGGGGTGTTTTCGTATTGCTCGCTGCGGCGCGCGTGGAGCTTTTGGGAGGAACTTTTATGGGCGCGGGGGCGCATTACTTGGCAGCGCACTCCAAACGCAACGGGGTCAACAACGTGGCCGCCACTCGGAGCCCCGAATCATCAGGGGTAACGCGGGTCAGGGCTAACTCGGGTTCGTTTTTCGGGAATCCAAGCCCGAGTCACCCCGGACCCGAGTTACCCCGGATGACTCGGGCGTCCAGAGCCCCGAATCATCAGGGGTAACTCGGGTCAGGGCTAACTCGGGTTCCTTTTTCGGGAATCCAAACCCGAGTTACCCCGGACCCGAGTTACCCCGGATAACTCGGGCGTCCAGAGCCCCTACTTGAATCACCGCGGCGGTTGCGATCTGGTTCCGTAGGTTATAACTGTTTAGAATCAGGTTCGCCTGATTCTGGAACTTGGTTCTAACCAAGTTCTAACTTGTTTCTGAGAGCCTCGGAGAGTGGGTTCGAGGGCCAGAAGTTGGAGGAGGAGGAAGGAGAAAAGAAGGAGGAGGGGGATGAAGAAGAGGAGGAGGAAGAAGAAACTAAATGAGGAGGGGGAGGAAAAAACTTAGGAGGAGAAAGAAAAAGGAGAGGAGGGGGAAGAGCAAGAGGAGGTCGGAGGAGGAGTAAACGGAGAAGGAGGAGCAGCGGGAGGAGGTGGTTGCGGGAGGAAGAGGAGTAGGAGGAGCTTGTTGGCAGAGCTTCAAAACCACGAAACCGAATATGCAATGGCTGAACATCGCGGGCCTCAAAATCCGATCTCAAGGGTCAGCCTGACAACTTCGAGAGCCTCATCCTCCTTCTCCTTCCTCCCCTCCTGCCTTCCCCTCCTGCCTCCCCCTCCTCCTGCCTCTGCTTCTCCTCCTTCCCCTCCCAACTTCTCATTCCCCTCCCGCAAACACAATATCGAACATGTTTCACCACCCAGTTCCATGGCGTGAGCTCTCGTGACCTATCTATCAGCAGATCTCAACTTCAACCTCGGCGGAAAGATGCAAGTAGCCACCTTGCCTGGGGAAGCTGGCCAAAAAATGCAAGGTTCTACTATGCGCGTGGCGTCGACCAGAACAGTAGACTCTGCAACCCTGACTTTTGCACAAGTCCCTTGAAAATCTAACACCTGCCACTCAGACAAGACAGCGCATAGTTCGCTGCCAACCCGAAGGAAGAGGTGCACCTCCCCAAATGTGACCTCTCCAGTGCTATGCAAATATGCTACACAATCACCTATCTGGATTGCTCTGAATTTGACATAGCACACCCTAGCGCTAGTTACGCCCTGATCAAACGCGAGAGGCACAGCATTTCGAATACACGTGCACAAGTCCTTACTAGCAGGCTTCTCACCCACAAGATCAACCTTACCGAGACTTTGCTCATTCAGGCTCCACATGTGGTGCGCTGTCAAATCGAGCATGACGCATTTTTCAAACCCAACTAGGTTACGCCTATCTTGCACATACCTCTTCACGAGCCGATGCTTGCGCTCCTGTAGAAAACACGAGAGGAGCATCCCTTGTTTTCGCATCGTATCGCCGAGGTGCAACGCACAGTGGTCTTTAGGCTTGTAGAAATCAATCCCCCACACTCTTCTCTGCAAACGAGCATGCTTTAGTACGGCGCTGTGGACCTCCTCGGGAGTCACGATGCCACTATTTGCGATTTGCAGCAGGCCGATAACCTCACAACCAGCTAAAAGAGATTCACATTTATCTGCAAACATCGCAACTTTCTCAATCACCACTGACGTGACGAAATGGCCAAGAACTGGTGCGAACGAGATCAGATCAGAAGCGCTACCTGTAAGCTTGCCCTGGGAGCACACCTCATCTGCTTTAGCATACCCCTGAGGCCACTGCCAGTGCGAAAGGTACTCAGCCAGACAAGCCCACCCCAAGCCGTGGCCGTCCAGCAAAACTATGAATGTCTCTGCTTCGCGCGAAAACATGCCAGTGATGAGAAGGCAATGCATCCAATCCCATGCCAGCACGTTCGGCAAGTCCAAGTCAAGGTGAGGGTCTTGAAGGATTCCGCCTGGAACGTAGCCGAAGCCCCACAGTTTTTCTTTCTTTGTCATCTCGGTTTTCCCTTCCTCCTCCAAGGATAATTTCAATTTCCTCTGGATGCCTTGTATGGTTTGTTTCGTGTGCAAATCGAACTTCTCCACTTCAACAGAGTGCGCTGGCACCAAATAGCCTGTTCGGTCCCGCTGCAGCAGCAGGGACCTCGGGAGACATACGTTTTTACAAAGGCAGCAGGGCTTGATGCCCCCACTGCCTTTACAGTGCACGACAAACTTGTGTGCTCGCTCATCCTGGAACAAGCTGGCCACAGTTCCATGGATGAACGTGGGTACGCCGTCTATCGGAACGGAAACGCC